GGGGAACATGGAATCTGGTCTCTGGGAGAGGGTGGTGGTCAGTGTAGTTGGAAGGTTGGTGGGGGCCCTGTTCTTTGGCTTTTTTTCCCACCTGACATGCCAGGTGTGTACCTCACTCTTGATACTGCCAAGAGATGGCAGGTCCTCCCAGTAGAGGTCAATCAGATCTTGTATCTTGTATTTTTCTGCTGCCCTCTGCTGGTGTCAGGGTTACCAAGATTGATGGGATGACACTGTGTCCCTGGAAGGTTTTTGGTAAAGGGGGGTGAACCTCATCTCCAGCTCTGCCAGGAGATGGTCTAGGAGTGGAATGGCCACCATTCTCCTGTAGTATTCAGCTAGTCCGTCAGCCAACGTGTTGTCTCGGTGTCGTTGGCATTTGCAGAGTCGGGGCATGGAAGGTGCGACACCTACAACCTGACGAAACCATTCAGTGTAGTGATCATCCATGTTGTTTCGGACATCTCGTAGTGCTGCCTTCGCACAGTTAACTTCTCTGCTGGCCTCAACTAGTGTATGTCCTTAGCCTGTGTTTGAAGGCTAGTGGTCACACCTTTCAGATAGCCTAGTGCATTTTTTATCACCAGGGACACACTGAAGTCTGTACTGGTGATGGCGAGCAGCAGGGCCTGGGCATCAGTCGGTGAGTCTGTTGACCAGTTGCCAGGATCACTCTCCACAATGTCCTCCATGCAGGCCATCACCAAGGGATGTAACTCCACAAAGGTTTCTAGGGCATCTAGGCATTGCCCCCAACGTGTATGGCACAGATTTTTCAGCTTGTGTTTCCTCGATTAAAGTTAGATCGCCATGACAGCTGCCTCCAAGGCATATGCACGATTGGGATGCTCTTCCATGAAAGTTGAGATCATCTCCACGGTGCCAATCATGTTCCTGATACTGGTGATCTGGATGGACTTTACAACAGCCAGGTTGAGGGCATGTGATGAGCAGAGCTGGTAGAGGGCTAAGGGGTTGGTCTCCTTTACGATAACTGCTGTCGGCCATGTTGCCAGCTCTGTCATAGGCTTGGCCTCTAAGGTTGTTGTCAAGTCCATACCCTGTGATCCTGGTTGTCACCTTATCTGCTATAATTCTGCCAGTTACCTCATTGTCACATTACAAAAAGTCCACTAGGTCCTCTCTGATATGGTCATTAGGATTCACATACCTCAACACCATGCTGAGCTGCTCCTTGTAGGTAGAGCCAGTGACCTCATTAGCTATGATAGAGAAAAACATGTTTTTGTTCACCTTCTGAAGGATATGGTCACATATCTATTCACCACAAATGTGAATCAACTGGTTCTGGATATTCTAAGATGTGTACAGAGCATTCTTGGCAGCTGTGCCTAGGTGCATACCCAGAACCCTGTCTCTAGCCTCCACACAGAAGTCAGTAGATAAAGGAGTGATTGTGGGTGGAAATCCCAAAACGTGAAATTGGGGTCAGCCGAGTAGGGTATGGGTGTAGGTAGGGAGTGGCTGGGTCCAGCGTGGGTTTTTCCGAAAGGTGGAACGATGTCAGTTGGGTCAGTTTTACTGTAAATAATAAAGAATATTTCCTATTCTTGGGATTTGGGAGGATCATGGCCCAGGGGGGTTTCTGGGCAACCAGGAAACCCCACCTGGGTGTGCCCCTGCTGTATATATTTTTTTCTTGTTTTTTCAATACTATCTCAGTCCTGAAAATTTATAATATTCATGAAAGATCTAAAGCGTCGACCTCTGGATGAATCTTGTAAATCTACTGGCAACTTCCTAACTGATAAAGGTAAAGCATACGACTTACAAAGCTATACTGTAAACCATGTTGCTTTTACTGAATCAACTTTTAAGTCATTTGGCTCTCCGTTACAAAAGATTTTCAATACAAGAACAAAAAAGATTGGTGAATCTTTGATGTCAAATAACAAGAGTTTAATATAAGTAATAGCAAACTCCTGGTAGTAAATATCGACATACTATTATTTCTATCAAAGGCTGGCAATTTAAACACTTTACATTCATAAATTGGATTTTAAAAATTGAAAGGAGACCTGTGGTTGATGAACAAGGCATTATAATGAATTTTAAATATCTTAATATGGCACAAATTAAAAAAGTTAAGTATACTATCCTGAATTGGTTCATAATCAGGACAAGAAATATTTAGATTACGTTATACAAATTAAATAAACACTCGAACTGGGCGATTACCTTAAGTGTGACAATATCAGAGTTTAGATTACATCAAACTATGTACAAAGTATAAAATTAGGATATCGTACAATATAAATTGTAGGTTTGGTGACGTTGGAGGTCAGGAATTAATGGTGGAGCTTAGTTGGTGAGCCCCTCCCTGATCACTGGTTTTTACTGAAGGTGGCAAGTGTTATGTTTCTGTGGTCAGGATTGTTAAGGGACTGACAATGGCAGGTAATTTGACATTCAATGGTAGCTGGTAGGATGATAATAATAAAAATAATAATAATTAACGGTTTATTGAAAAAGTTCTGCAGCCCGAAGGCTGAAAATATACATTAGACATAAATGACTTATTGAATACATTGGTGGTTTAACAAAAGCCTTCATTAGAGAAAGGTAAAGGAACATACAGTGAACATTCAGATTAATGTAGGTGTTGAACAGCAAACACGTAGTGTAGTAACTCTCTCCCAGATGGTGTTGGGAGGGACCTCATGTGGTGGTGCAGTAGTTCCTTCAGATGGTGTTATGAGGGACCTGACATGGTGTAGTAATTCCCTCACAGATGGTGTTATGAGGGACCACGTGGTGTAGTAATTCCCTCACAGATGGTGGTATGAGGGACCTCACGTGGTGTAGCAATTACCTCACAGATGGTGTTATGAGGGGCCTCACGTGGTGTAGTAATTCCCTCACAGATGGTGTTATGAGGGACTTGACGTGGTGAAGTAATTCCCTCACATATGGTGTTATGAGGGACCTGACGTGGTGTAGTAATTCCCTCACAGATGGTGTTATATGAGTGAGGTGTGGTCCCAGGCCTTCCTATCGTAGACGGATTAGCACATCGCTGGTTGTTGTTGGGTCTCAGGGGCCGTTATCACTGGGTACCTGGGACCTCACTGTGTGAAGGTTAACTTGGGTACGACTGTCACTGTTGAGTTGTTCTCACTGACTTAAGCACTGTTCACCACTGTTCCCCTCTGTTTAACACTGGTTCCATTCCTTTCCTAAATGAAATTGTAACTTCTGGCGAGAACTTGTTGATATTCCAGTGGGGAGGAGGGTTCAAGGGAGGGAGTTAGTATGGGCCAACATAACAGTTGACCTGGCTGCTCCGAGAGGAGCGCCAGGTACGTCTTGACCCTTCGGTGGTCAAGGATGCATGAGCAGACAAAGGAATGTAGACTTGTGCAAGACTATTAATTAAATCAGGAGTTATTGTTTATAATTCAGGTAACTATTAAATATAACCTAAATTAAATGCAACATATATATAACTCCCTAAATAAATTTCTTATATTATTTCTATCGTTCTGTTATTCTACATATTAGATTAGCAGTTAGGATATATACATCATCTGTGCATTTTATCTCAAAGGTTAACGCTTTGAGCATATTTCATATTGTATTTATATCCAGGATTAACCCTTACTTTTTGACAGCCTCTATTTATTGTACATTGGTGCTTCCCAGGACCATTAGCACCCCCAGATTATTTTGGAAATGAAAATTTAAACTGCTATTTGTTATATAGGACAACAAAACTACTGCAATGTGTTCAGGGTTAACATACATGTGTCTTGTACAATGTATTGTACCATTAATTTCTTATTTTTTAAGCAGAAAGGATAATCCAAATGTTCTGTATAATTTATGAAGTGTATTTTCCCTGTTTCTCTCACTTCAATTATCTACATATTTATACATACGGTATTTATTTTACAAATAAATAGTTGACTAGATCCTTTACAAGTACAGTACAGTATTTAATCATCTCTACATAATCCATTAACACACTTGGGTCTGGGTAAGCGCTCTCCGGCAATACGCTTGTTATTTGAGATAAAAAGGTGATATTTGTTCCATTAAGCATTGTAAATAAATTATCTACAAACAGTTTTATAAGAGTAATCACAATAAAATAATTATTTCTATACATAAGTGCAAGTAGAAACTTTTTATTTAAGCTTAATGAAAATGTTTATACATAACTTCATACCTTCGTTATTTCATGCGATTGCAATACGAACCTAATCCGTTATAAAGCGTACATGTTTAGGATAAAACGGTTATACAGTGGGGTATGCTATAACGAACGTAATTGGTTCCAGAACCTCGTTCGTTATAGCATTCGTTCGTTATAGGATTAATCCGTTCCAGGCCCCCAAATACAACCACTTAACACTGAAAAAATTCTGTGGAAAATGTAAAAAATACGGTACTTTATCTTACCTTAGTGCAGGTACCCCTAAACACTGGCACATCACTATCACTTCCACTGGGAGTCTTGGCTTTAAGGTCCTCAAACAATTGTTTAGCCTTCTCACAAATTATAGCTTCACTAATGTTACCACCTGCCATTTCTTTCTCCTTTATCCACACTAAGAGTAAATTTTCCATCTCTTCAATCACATTACACTTTGCTTTGCTAAGTCTAAAGATTCCCTTAGCCACTTGCACAGTTTTTAACTCCTCTTTATTCTTCAAAATCGTACATATAGTCGATTTAGCCATCCCATATTCATCACTAAGTTTCGCAATGCTTCTTCCATTCTCACGTTTCTTTACAATTTCTTTCTTAGTTTCAAGGGTTATTAGCTTTCTCACTCGCTTTGGACGACTCATTGTTACAATTGTATACTTGTATAACAAAATAGTTATACAAATAACGCGAATTTCCACATCAAAAGACGAAATTTCAACAATAACAGTGGTGCACTGGCTACACAATGAGACAAAGATGGCGCCTGACGCTCTTGTTGTGGGTCGCGGTACAACAATATTCATGCGCCACGCGAAATAGTCCCATATTCATCCGCGTTCGTTGTAGGAGTTGCGTTCGTTATAGCATTCTCAATTTTATAGGTAAAACCGTTCGTTATAGGAATATTCGTAGTAGGATCCGTTCGTTATAGCATACCCCACTGTAAAAGAAAATTTGTGAAAATATTAATATTTCGCTAGGTAATTTTGCATTCTGATGAGCACACCCATGCCAAGTATAGAATATTCATATTTTCCCTCCTGGTGCAAAATATAATTGTACATACTGTTTTAAGTAATAGCACTAGGACTGCTTGCTGAAGGGCCAGACAAACTATCACGTATACTATGCTAGGAGGGCCAGGGAAACAGAGAGGCTTCAGGAGGCACCACAGTATCACCACGTGGTGCAATCGCCTTGCACTATTTTTACGTTTTCCCTCACCATCACGAAGCATAGTTCAAAACTCACAACACTGTTATGAATAAATCAAATCACTCTGATGCACAAGAATTCAGCACAAGCTGCAAGAAAATGTGTGGGAAATGTGGGTCAATGTTATATCCTGGGTCCTTTAAATACAAAAGAGAGACTGGTGTGGTGATCTTGGAGTGCAGTTTACATAGTTGCCAGATCACGGTGACATTGCCAAATGTGCATCTTGCATGTCTGGCGTTCATGTGCAAACATAAAATGATTTCATTGAAATTTTTACTTTGCGTACGAAAGTCCTAAAGCCCATAATTTAGATCATACGCAATTTTGGGTGAGAAAACCCCCGAGTGTTAAGGGGCGTCACTCGTGCCTTTACTACTGCTGTGACCTCAATACTGATATATTTCAAAGCTATATTATATACCTACAACCAACGGTGGAAATGAGAGTACTTGTAGGTAAATGCAGTGGACTTAATTCCAGAACCAATATGTTTAAGTCTTTATATATCTGATATGGTTTCTTTTCTAGGTCAATAGAAATTTTACTTGACTAAAATCTGGCCTTTTTTTGTGTGTGTGTATTTAATCACACTTCTCTTTCCCCTGCCCTCATTCTTCAAGCATATACCCAGTTCCTAATACTGTACCCATTTTCATCACTGGCACAATATGTTAAGCTTAACATTAATTTTGCCATTCTCCAAGTCTAGTCATACATATCTAGATCCTATGTTAATAAACAATAAATGTAACTTTCAAATAGTTTTTATGAAATTCTAGAAAAACTTAGCAGATCCATTATGAGCAAAATGCTGTTGTGGCCTTTCATCCTCCTCCTCTTCCTCAACTACTTCCTCCTCACTCGCATTACCCTCTTCTTCACTTCCTCCTTCATCCAGACCTCCATTTTCTGTTCTGCCAAAGTTCACGCCTGTTGTTCTTGAGATTGCTTGTAGAGTCTGGGCTTCTACGTAGTAGTTAGGGTTTGCCTACAAAATATTTTTTATTGTTAAAAAGTGTATGAAAATATATTATAGGTATTTATCTATTCATGTGGAATAGTTCTAGGGCCGTGCTTTTGCCACAGCTCTGAAGGAATCTTTTTAATAGCTTTCAGGCAACTAGGAAATGTTGCCTTTAATGTTCTTTAGAACAGTGATGAAAGAAAAAAACTTTGTGTAGAAGGAAATATGAGTACTGTACAATCAGATGTATACTGTATACGGTGTTAATCTTTAACACATGACAACTCAAACAAATAAAGATCCCAACTAAATTTAAGTCGAAATACCGGGCATTTACTTTTTTTTCAGGCCCTTTTCCACAGTAATCCAAGGTGTTCAATTTAGAGTTAAGATACACATATCTCCTTCTATCAAAGTGACTAATTGATGTAAACTGATCATACATGAAAAATGTGTTAATTTTAGCACGCATGTTTTAATATTGTACAACCATAACTGTTTGTAAATTATATCATGATCTATTCCTAGAAAATGGTCATGGGATCTTTTATGTCAAGTGATTTATATGTTATATAATCACAGACATATTGCAATTTAATTTTTCAAAAAGCACATCTTGGTGTCCTCTTTTCTCTAAGGAATTATCATGTCATGCTTAGTCAGACCATAAATTACTTTTACCCTTTGGTGTCAAACAATATGACAAACCAGCAAAAAATTCCACACAATGCTCTCACATCTGTAGTGACATTGGTAGCCCTGTTTTCCTTATATGGGAATACGTGAAGCTACCAGTGATGCTATTCCTGTCATTTGTCATTAAGCAATCAAAGAATACATAATTACCAACTGTAAAAAGTAATAGTATATCCCGAGAACATTGTGGGCCCGTTATATTATTAAACCGAGGAACTCGTATTTCACAGTACGTTTATTATTGTAGAGGGGATCCTCATTACACGTCAGGAATATATTCCAGAGAAAAGTGACTTCTAGTAAAACGTTTTATGATAAATTTTTCCCCATAAGAATTCATGTCATTACAGGTATATATATTGTATCATGTACAGTAAACAAATTGGCTTACAATGGGGTCATTATAAAATACACTGTATATGTATAGTATTTGATATGGAGATACATTCCTAACATTATTTATTACCTTCGAGTGATACAAGATGGCTCGATTTGGCGACTTGTAGACTTAGATAACTGATTAATGAATAAACCAAAGAATATGGAGCTAAATAATGCACTACAATATTACAGTACAGTCTCTCCTCGACTTACGACGGGGTTGCGTCCCGACGACCAGGCTGTAAGTCGAAAAGGCGAAAATAATACACAGAAATTCTAAAATGGGTGTCTCTTTTTCTTCTCGGCACCACAAGAACTCTCACTTTTACGCTTGCCAGCCATTTTAAAGAAGAGTTCCAAACGAAAAAATTTTCAGTACACAGCGCGATCACTAACGTCGGGACTGGAAAATACGTAATGCGAAAAATGTTTTATACGACCATAAGCTATGCTTTGAAATCGGTGGTTTGTGTAATTTGATATTGCAATACTTGCAGAGTTTCACTGTGAATTTTTTATGCTAGTATTATTTAGAATGTACTCTGTGACATGTAGTGATAAATAATATTCAGCCATAGAGATTAGAGCTACCCTCCCCGTACCAGCCTCATGAGATCATTGTTGTGACAGAAACCACAATTGCCAAACATTGACGTAATGTATAAAGCAAATATTTTTTTTTAGGGATGCACTTGCAAGTAATCCATCATCCTTTAGGATTGTCTTTCTCTGTCAAATGTCACCCACAGTACTGCCCATGGCCAGCCGGATGATGGAGATAACCAGTTCACTTGGGCATGACCTGACGTTGCATGTCCAAGCTGTATGCACTGATCGGCCAGGATGACAGCGCCTTGAGACAAAAGCAGCAATCAAGAGGTGGGATGGACCATGCATTGACTCCAACCACAGCACACACGAGCAGTGTGATGAATGCAGCACTCCACATACCACTACAATTATTTTGAGTCCTCTCTTGGTCTAGGTTTAATGGCAATTTATATTTTTCTACTTCAGGCAGTTAAGACGTGTGGAATGCGGCCACGAACAGAAGGACACAGCAGCACCACACATCAAACCCTGGTGAGCCCACCCAGGGAGGGATTCCCCTGTGAGGGTGTAGGACAGGTCTGTCAAGGGTCCCGCCGACACTCTTGTTCAGAGGGCGAGCCCAGGTCCACGTACTCTCCAGCACACCATCCAGAGCGATGTCACACCAAGCAGATCGGATTAGAAAAGCCCATTAGAAATATGTTGGAAAATTATGTTGTATAGAAGAAAATCGGATGGAACAGAAAAACTCATCCAAAACATGAAAATGGTGCTGCACAATTGAAACTCAGATGGGGCTAGAAAAACCCATCTTGAATATGATAGAAACTGATGCAAGAGGAAAGATGCATTATAAACCAGGAGGAAGTGAGAAGCCACGATCCACAAGGCGAATCATTGAAGAAAGAAAACCATACAATGTGAATAGAGAAGACATAAGACATGCTGTGCCAACATCAGAAGAGCCAACGACGAAGAGATGGATCATCGGAAGGAACAAGCTATCGCTGCTGCTGATACCAGCTGGTGGAGAATGTGAGTCATGCTCGGCTACATTACTGTATTGATGTTCTACATGTACAATGATTAAAAAAATAAAAATAAAAAACTCCCCTAATATGTGAAGTAGGCTAATTTTTTGTGTATTTTTCAGTACTTAATTTTGTGACATTTGATTACATTTAGTACAGAAACTTTTGTTTTATTTAAGAAAGTTTAATCATCTTTTCTATGATTTCTTTAAATTTGATACATGTTTTGTAAAGTATGTAATATTGTAGCTATATATAAGTGAGAGGTTGTTTGGCGGAGTATCTCCTTCACATAAAGAAAAGAAATACAGAGGGCCATGGGGCAGAGTATCTCCTTCACATAAAGAAAAGAAAGACAGAGGGCCGTGGGGCAGAGTATCTCCTTCACATAAAGAAAAGAAAAACAGAGGGCCATGGGGCAGAGTATCTCCTTCACATAAAGAAAAAGACAGAGGGCCAGAGCAGAGGGCCATGGGGCAGAGTATCTCCTTCACATAAAGAAAAGAAAGACAGAGGGCCGTGGGGCAGAGTATCTCCTTCACATAAAGAAAAAGACAGAGGGCCATGGGGCAGAGTATCTCCTTCACATAAAGAAAAGAAAGACAGAGGGCCATGGGGCAGAGTATCTCCTTCACATAAAGAAAAGAAAGACAGAGGGCCGTGGGGCAGAGCTGCTGCTGCTGCTTCTTCTTTAATAATAATATTGGTTCACACTCAGGATGGGTTGGAGAAGGGAAACTCAATGTGCTCTCTCTATACATATTGTAATGGATGTACAATGCAGCTTGGTGCTGGGGAGTGGCAGTATGAGTCCAAGCATGGTGTAGAGAAAGCTGGTTCGTGACGGTGCTCAGAGGAGGACAGGCAGCTTGTGGGATGCCATAATCGCCGGCGGTAGCTGGTTGGCGAGGGTGCTCAGAGGAGGACAGGCAGCTTGTGGGACGCCATAATCGTCAGCAGGAGCTGGTTGGTGAGGGTGCTCATAGGAGGACAGGCAGCTTGTGGGACGCCATAATCGCCGGCGGTAGCTGGTTGGCGAGGGTGCTCAGAGGAGGACAGGCAGCTTGTGGGACGCCATAATCGTCAGCAGGAGCTGGTTGGTGAGGGTGCTCAGAGGAGGACAGGCAGCTTGTGGGACGCCATAATCGCCGGCAGTAGCTGGTTGGCGAGGGTGCTCAGAGGAGGACAGGCAGCTTGTGGTACGCCATAATCGCCGGTGGGAGGGGGAGCCGCCAGACAGGAGCAGAGGTGGTGTTGCTTGCTGGTGAGGAAGGAAGAGATGTCACGGCCATGTGGGGTCTTATATAGCGGGGGTAGGCATGGCTTGATAGTTGACCTCCACTATGTTAGGCAGCGCTGGTTGCCGACCTAAACCACGAGGCGCAGGCTGGGGAATTCGAAGAGGGTCGGCGACAAACGGCATTTGTAGGGGAGGAATCCACAACAATACCACTACCAGCTTTTCAAAAAGAGGCTCATAAAAATCAACTCCATCTCAACTTACCTGTGGTATGTGATATCACACATTGATTGATTTGTACATTCTATGGTGTATGAGGAAACCGTAATCTGAGGACAAGCCACAGTATGCCCACCTCGCCTATTCTATAACAAAGCCGCTCGGTACCATTTTGGAAAAGGTATCAGTTAAAAATTTAGTCATTTGTATACCTTACCTTGGGTAGCTTGCTTTTCATTTCTTGTAGGGCACCCAAGGCTGATTTGAAGTTGTTGTTAGAAGCATAATACTCCACAATAACAGCATAAATATCACCCTGCCTCACTGCAACTTCAATATTTGGATCAGCCAAAAGCTCTTGAAGTTCTTGGATAGCAGAATCCCCATCTGTTGCAAACATTCTGCAACATATAATGTTACATATTATTTATCATTTATAGTCCACCAATGTGCATATCGATAAAGCAAACATTACATTTATAAAACACCTTATTCGTTTACAACAAGCCATATGCAAAATCATAAAATATTTAGCTTCTTTACACCACCCTTATCAAATATACATTCTGTATGCGCTTCTGGATAAATCACAACTGAAACTAATGTCTTCTACATTACATAAAAAAAAGAAACACACACTCAGGAACAAGTGTAGCATGTCTCATATGTCTTACCTTTTAATACCAAGAAACTGTTTAACCTTTTCCAGTTTGTACTGAAATGCTGGTACTCTCTCCTGGGCCTGAGGGTCACTGCTGGTCATTAAAGCTTTGTAACCTTCATTTAAGGCACCAGCAGCTTTCTCATAATTTTGGAACTCGTCAATTTCAACCTGAAATTTAAGAATGCAGTAATTCTTATATGAACCTCTAGTTAATTACAAAACTAATGTCATCTCACACTTTTGATGAAAATATGCTTAAAATCATAGTATTTTACGGCATAATGACACTCTTTTTGTCTGAAACGTGGCTCAAAACATCGCCCTGCATCCTATACATGAAGCTACGGTCTCCCGTAGGCTAATGAATCCCCCACTTGCTGTCTCCAGTATGCTAAATTCTACCTAACCCAAGAAATATGACTTCGATCGACTTCATATTTCCCGCCTCTGCTGACGGCCATGTAAATATTTCTATGTCATTATGATGTTTTAAAATGTTAGTTTTGCACAATGTAGTATTACCGATACGTTATTTGTTTTAGTATGCCTTATTGTGGGTAAAAATAAGTACAGTATACCTGTATATTAAATGCATCCTCCAAAAGCATGATTTTGCTACCAGAGTTTAACCATAAATTCATGTGTACGTAATACTTCCGATAAACTTCCTACGTACTTATGTTTGAAATAATGAATGTATGTATCCTTATATAATTTAGCTAAAATATCTTTATCATCAAAAACGGTCATCCCATAGATAATGAATGAACTCATTTAGAAATACAGTACATCATTACTTCTGGACAAAATCGGACACATTTGAAACCGCCAATCAACTGTAAGTCTTGAGAACGGGGCGGGGAATCTTTTCTCACCTGAGAAAAAACCCACTATAGCAGCAGCAAACCATCACCCCGCCGGTCAGACTCCTGGCTGACCCGGTCAACACTTTCTGCTGTGGGAGTCCTGCCATGAGCTGTGTGTGTGCTGTGGGAGTCCTGCCGTGAGCTGTATGTGTGTGCTGTGGGAGTCCTGCCAGGAGCTGTGTGTGTGTGTGTGTGTGTGTGTGTGTGTGTGTGTGTGTGTGTGTGTGTGTGTGTGTGTGTGTGTGTGTGTGTGTGTGAGTCCTGCCAGGAGCTGTGTGTGCTGTGGGAGTTCTGCCGGGAGCTGTATGTGCTGTGGGAGTTCTGCCGTGAGCTGTGGGAGTCCACTGTGGCCATGCATCGTGGGTGTGCTGCCGTGTGCCACACCAGTGTTGTGTGTTTTGATTATTAAATTGTCAAGTCCACCCTTACACATTGTTAATACCAACCCTATTATTCTATTGCAAATAGCATAACATTGGTCTTACTTAAAAAAAGTTGTAAATATATAATATATATTACTATGATCTTGTCATACTTTTCAAACAGAAATATTACCAGGTATCAGCCACACAATCAACATTGTGTTATTCATATCAAAAATAGTCTCAACTTTACTAACCTGGGCACATGAATCATAAAAACCAGCCAACAAAGCAGTAGCTTTTGCTCTAGAATAAAATTGGATTATATTGCGCATAATGTCTGGCTCCTTGCGCCAATCTAAGCTCTGCAGGTAATTTGCTGCCATGATGTATATCTCTCGTTGACGGCAAACGTTGGCAAAGTATACGATCCGCTCTGTGTCGCCTGATTTCAGAAGACACTTCATTGCTTTGACCTGTGAATAAAGTAAAAATTAATTTAAATCAATGGATAACTAAAAAGGAAAGTCCAAGAGTCAATAAACTAATATCCGATTCAAATACAAAATTAAATGGCTGATAATATATTTGCCACTCTTGTCTCGGTAATAACAGCACCACAAAAAGTGATCACAGTGAATTCCTTTGGTTTATAGGATTAATTCTAAACCCTATTCATCGAGCTCTTTAACATATGTTTTTCATGATGACAGAGTTGACCTGTATTAATAATAGCCCATCTAAATCTATAAGTAGATTGAAGGAATGATTATAAAAAAATCTTCCTATTTTGGGGTAAAGGTCTATCATGAAAAGTCTAAAGAAGCTGTGGAAAGAGGCATTTGTTTACAAAATCATAGCATATATACACTGCTAACCTTATTTCCTGCTTGAGTGAACTTCTTAGTAGCAAGTTTATAATTATCCTGAGCATAAGCGCACTCGGCCACCTTCTCTAAGATCTGGTTGCGAGCCGACTCGTCCTTAGGTAGGGTAAATCTTTCAGCCAATTCTTCTGTGACCCAAACATTATGCTCGACACACAAGTCGAGAGCATCAGAATACTGGAAAGACGTAGAAAAAAAATCTCGTTAAAATACGTAAGCCTCACTACGTTACATTTATACTAAAACATTGACAAAAATAAATAATAAAAGCTCATCCAACATGACCCATTAAAGAGTCACATCTACTGTACTATTCTGCAAAAATTTATCTGTGAAGTTCCTGAACATTCCTTGAAAACTGCAGAAGTAAAATTCACAGGAGTTTGTAACCCATACCCTATTTTGTAACAAAAATAGTTCAAGTTACTATGACTAAAATTTTAAGGAAAAAATAGTCAACAAATATAAGCTACATGTATATCACATTATGCACATCTAGTACAGTTTCACTTAAAAATCTGTGTCGGGTTTCCAAATCTTCCGTGCTCCCTTATTTTAGACAAGACAAATGGAGAGAAAAGATGGAAGGACAAGATAAATTCTACGAGGCTATAGTCTATAGTGAAGGGGGGCACAAAAATATAAATAAATGGTAAATTTGTAAGGCCTGCTACAAGATTTTATAAATAACATTTTATATTGTATTTTAACTGAAAATATTACTGTACACTACATATTCATCAAAATTTTATGAACTATCACATGAAGTGTTTACAAACTGCCTTCGCAAGATCTACAACACTTTTTTAATTGTCAGTATTTTCATTCAATCTATAACTGGCATTTGTTTTACATAATAGCATATAACTTTCTGTGAATATATATTTTTGTAACACTCTCGCAGAACCTGCCAAATCTATATAAACTCTAATTCACATCTCATATTAAGTGTAACTATCATACTGAAACATGTAATGCATCTGAAAAATATAACTGAAAATAAAATTAACAATTTAAGAGATCAGTCCTAACACTGGTATTCTCACCTGCTTCCCAGTGATAAGTAAAGATACAGCACGATCATACTGCCCATTGGATATGAAGTACTGTGCACATCTCTGGATAAGTGCTGGATCTGCACTCTCATCTAGTTCTCCAGCAATCTGTCCAACTGCACTTATCTGACCAGATTTGAATGCTAAATCAACTGCTTTAGACAGAAGTCCTGCCTTATGGTAAAGCATTACTGCTTTGGGAAGTTGACGGCGTTCATTGGAGGAGAAGTATCTTGCGGCATCAATTTGTTCTTGAGGTCCAGCCACAAGTGCTAGATTCATTAATTGATCTGTCAAGTAATAATATTAACAATTAACAAATTTCAAAAACATCTTTCTTCCAAAAGTTAAAATGTACGACTTATCTATGTTTACATATAATTCCGTAATACAATTATACTAATCTATACATGTATCTAGTTTTCTCAAGTATATTCCCTCCCCTACTGTCCAAACAAACCCATCTAAAGTTCTTTTAGTCTGTTTTCTATATCCCATATATTTCAAAATAGGAGAGTATTTTATTACCATTATACAGGTAGTCAGGTATACCTCAGGTAATGAAGCCTCTTTATTACAAGGTTTGATTCTTCCTCATTTTGGGCTTAAAATCAATAATAATAAAAAGGAAACAAATGGAGTCCAACAAGAAAGCATTGCCATAGATGTTTCTTTTAATTTCAGCCAATGAGAACAAAGTATGCAGCTCAAAACAGCTGTGGGTGTGAGATGGCTATGCAGGTTGCAATTGTTAAATATAATGAAATCATAAAAGATGTGGAGAAATCATCTCATTTATCTAATGTGACTTAGAAATACAGTAGTCCCACAACATCCGTGGGGGTTAGGTTCCTGGAAAACCCCTGGTTGGTAAATCCGCAGTTGGCAAGACTAAAGTCTTAAGGGAATAAGGGCCACCGATAGCACTAATCAAAGCCCAACTAAGTTGCCTGTTCATTGCAAAACAATACCTATAGTGTACATTTCATTAAATTTTAATCAAATACATATAAATAGCATAATACAAATTAATTAGTACAGGCAATCCCTAAGTTACGACCGTATGACTCACAATCGTCGGCACTTACAAAAGGTATCCCAATACATTCATCGCAAAAATTAGTAATTAAAATCCCATTTTTTACATTATTTTCATTACTCTATACTGTACATGTAATCTATATTGTTTAATATCACTTTATTTACAGTATTTACATTATTTGTTATGTGTGGGATATTATTGTTGTTTTGTATGGGAAGTGTTGTGCTTTAACCTAACCTAAACTATGGAATTAACATTGTTCTAACTTAAGAACAAATTGGCTTACGATCAGGGTCCAGGAACCTATCCCTGTCGTAAGTCGGGTGACTGACTGCAATATAAATTTAACAATATAAGGTGGTATTTGCCTTCATCGAGGATGATGGTTGATGATGTGGAGGGAGAAGTGGTTGTTACAAGGAAGAGGGGGGCACCGGCCCTCTCTTTTTTGCACTTTCCCGTGTGCCACCAGCAACACTAACCCTTATCATAGCCCCACTTTTCTTAATCATACGAATTGAGGATACGTTTATCCCCCATAGCGTATCCCGCTGACGCTAAACTCGTCGTGCACTAATCAATTGAGCACTTCAACTTTCTTTTCTAGTCGTTATATTCCTTGCCCTCTTCACTTTCTTATCTTTATCAATAACACTCAATACATGCTTAGGGATATAGTTAAAGGCAAAATCAATGTTATTGCTGTATTAAATAAGCACAACAATAAATACATCTACATGGTACGAGATCACAACTCCGAGAAAGTATGGTGGGAGGTTGGACACGGAGGGAATGTGGCGCCATGATAACCAAGGATACTAGAAATTCAATGTCACGTTCGGTGAAATGGTATACGTAGAGGTGAACGCTTGTGTGCAGATAATAGGTGGTTTGTCAATAGCATGTCTGGCGACTTCCCTAGTTAGGCCCATTTCAGTTTAAAAGTGTGCCCCTCGAACACAGCTCTGCTGTAAGTTTACTTGATTCAATTTGCCACTGAATGTCGAGTTAAATTTAAGCTTAGCTCAAAATAACTTTTATAGCACCTGTTTGAGTTGTTCCTGCCTCTGCATCATAGGCCCATTTGTGCTGCTTCTCCCAATGTGAAGTACAGTAACAACACACACACACACACACACACAAACGTGTGTGGCTGTCTGACTGGACTATGTCGTGTAGCCTAGAGGATAGTTTGAGGATGGAAGGAGCAGTTTTTTGTACATAAAATAAGTGCTATTGTATTTTATGATGTAATATGCATCATACTTATTTTTTTATTATAGCAGTTCGTTAATTTTTGGTGTATGAAATTCTAAATTTTTTGAATTAAGCGAAGTTTGTAGTAGCAGTTAAAAATAACGAGGTTCTACTATGCATACATACAATCTAACTGTATAATAATAGGAAAGGCATTTTAAAGATAACTATTACGATAAATACAATACACTTTGCACAAGTGAACACTTACGTGTCTGACAAACAATGCCAGGGAGATGTAGGACCCCCGCAACAAGTGGGAGGCTTTAAGAAAGACGTCTTCAATAGTGTCTGACTGTTCATAATGGATGCAACTTACTTGACCTTGACTACATATCCACAACATCTCCACTAAACATCCACAACATCTCCACTAAACATCCACATCATCTCCATTAAGTATCCACATCATATCCACCATAGATCCATTTTATCTCCATTACACACCCTCACAATCTTTACTACACATCCACATAACTTCCACTATACCACTTCAGCTCGGGCTACATAACCTGGGAGGCCACCCATGCCAAGTATGTACAGTCGGGGTCAAAAGTCTTGAACACTTAGCAATATCTGGCATCTACTTCGGAGTTTTTACATATATGATTGGGATATACTAATAACACTACTTGTCATCGCATATTATGCCTGAATCACAAAATGTGATAAAACTCTCCTTAATACCAAAGATCTTCGGGAAATTACATGCCAAATACTGTCAAGTGTTCAAGACTTTTGACCCCGACTGTGCACATGTCTGGACTCGAAACCTTCTAGAATCTTTGTGCGAGGCTTGAGTAGCTTCTAGAGAATCTAGAACCTTTGGAGGGCCCATTTCGGATATTGTCCGAGAATCACGGGGGTCTGAGATAAAAAAAAAAAAAGTCTACTGTATTGTTATAAAACTAGATAAGTACAAATACTGGAGAACAATAACTTTGAATCCTGAGTATGACCTTCAGCAGAAGGTCATGAATTTTTTATGGTTTAAAATATAGTATAAGGATATCAAGTTTCACTAAAGTCAGTGTCTAAAGTTATAGTGGATACAAATTGTTGACAGACAAGCAGTGACTACTGAAGGCTTCCCAGGGCCCTCATATGATATTAATATCCAGTAATTCAGAAGCACCAATCTGCTTTGGGTGCTCGACAAAACTTTTGTATCATAACTCATTAATATTAAGTGTAATTTACCTTCATGTCCATTCTCTTTGCATATCCTGATGGCATTTCCAAATGCTTGGGCCCGTGTAAAGAAGTGAATGGCCTCCTTCACCTGTGCCACATTCTCATACTGTCGTGCCAAGTGATAACACGCCGCTCTATGGAAGAAACAATTTACAGTACCACATACTATCATATACATGGAATAACAACATTGGTCAAGAGGATATGTACAGCTACCTCCACTCCTGCCTTTAATAGTGAACCTGGTCTCCCCGATCAATGTGACTAACGCTATAAAATATTTCCAGCCGAGCAAAGGGCACCAGAGACATTGAATCGGTAAACCTCGTGTGATTCAGCCAAGCTCATTTTCAAAGTCTCAACCAGAGTAAAACACTAAATTGTCCTTTGACTCATGATCCCCTAACCCTCTCCTTACCACCACCACCACCACCACCCTTGCACTCCTATCTCTTACCTGCAGTCCACACTGAGTTAAATTGTCTCCTATCACTTTGGTAATGCAATTATGATTAGAACAAAGACCAAAGTGATATTTCAACCAACACTCGTGAACTTTACAAGTAAGGGGTTGGGTGTAAATGGGACTGCCCAGTATGGGCCAATAGGCCCACTGCAGTTTCCTCCATTCTTATGTTTTTATAAGTGAACTGGCACCGTAAGTTATCAATTTATGAGAGCCTGAATTGTAACCAGTAAACAAACACAAGATACACATTGGAACAGATGGCGAGATGAAAAAGTTAATTCTCATTGATATAATGAAAAAGTACTAATACTTGATATATAAGTGAAACATCACAAAAATTTTAATGTTTCACTTATAATTCACTTTTTTTTTTTTTAGTTTAACAAATTTATTGACAAAGCTTGGTCCAAGTACAGTTTGCCTATTCTGAGTAATTCAGTCAAGTCTTGACACTGAGGGTGGTATCACTTCTCACTGCCATGCAGGACAGAGGTTCAAACACAAAGGAATACCGTAGATCATATTCATTAACAGTATTTATAGGTCAGATTCATGTGGGTTGATTCCTTGGTCACTGGCATGCAAGACAGAGGTCCGTACACAAAGACATACATCATATTCATTAGCAGTATATATAGGTCAGAGTCATGTGGGTGATGTCACTGTTCACTGCCATGCAGGACAGTGGTTCATATATATTGGACATCATATTCTAATTGAAGACTAATCAGTGTGGGCTAGCAAATTTTGGATAAACAGCAAGAATGTCCTCGAGCACCCGTGATTCAATGTGCCGGTAGTAATTACAAAGTTCATGATACAATAAGCAAATATTATTACTTATTCAATATATCAATGATTATTAACTTATTCATCTTAGCATCTCCTGGGGTATTCCTGACACACATGTTATCATGTGATGATTCTTTGAGAGACTACAGGGGGTCCCCGGGTTACGAACAGGTTCCGTTCCTGAGGACGTTATTAAGTCGGAAATGTGGAACACAGGCTATGTGCATACTGTACTTTCAAAACAAGGTTTAAAATCCCACTTCAATTATGAGAAAAGAACAAATACAATGACAAAATACAGTAAATGGCAAGTCATCAGGAAAATAAAATAATGAAAATTTCAAGTTTAACCCCATTTGTAAGTATGTATGTATTTGGATATTATTTACTTCACAGTGAATATATTAAACATACAGTTTTACCCCGCCTAACGCGGTTTCACTTAACGCGTTTTCGCATATACGCGGTGCCTTGCCAAAGCTGAACTTTCACTTAACGCGGATTTTTTCCACATATACGCGGTGAGTGTCCGAGACGCTATTTTTAGATTTGCCCCACCCGCCACCCTGCCTGACTGCCTGTTTTAGCTCATAAAATTCATACAAATTACCAGGCCAGAATATAATTTACATTGCTGGAATTCTTATAATTTGGTGATCATTTTGAATATAAACATCATATATTTTGCTTTAAACTTACAATTTTTAGATAAAAAATTTTCTCTAGGTAACTATGGTATCTTTTGTGCAAAATATATGACATTTATATTCAAAATATTCCTGGTCTTACAAGGAATCCAGCAATGTCAATTATATTATCCTAACTTTAGTTTGAGGTATTATTTATTAAAATTTAGTGGTTATCCCACACATCTCCTTGGGACGGTTGGTGGGGGGTGGGGGGGAGGGAGGGACCAACCGACCATCTGTTACCCTGTGAAGAATTATTATTTTTTTTTATTAACTGAAGATATTTGTTTTAGCTCATAAAATTCATACAAATTACCCGGTCAGAATATAATTTACATTGCTGGAATTCTTATAATTTGGTGATCATTTTGAATATAAACATCATATATTTTGCTTTAAACTTACAATTTTTAGATAAAAATTTTTCTCTAGGTAACTATGGTATCTTTTGTGCAAAATATATGACATTTATATTCAAAATATTCCTGGTCTTACAAGGAATCCAGCAATGTCAATTATATTATCCTAACTTTAATCTGAGGTATTATTTAATACTAAATGTTAAAAACTCTGGAAGGGAGGATTGGTGGGGGGTGGGGGGGAGGGTTGGGACTGACCGCGCGGTTGGAAGAGGGGGGGAGGCAAGGTGGGGTACTTTGATTGACAGATAGTGTCGTGAAGATTATTTTTTTTTTTATTAACTGAAGATATTTGTTTTAGCTCATAAAATTCATACAAATTACCCGGTCAGAATATAATTTACATTGCTGGAATTCTTATAATTTGGTGATCATTTTGAATATAAACATCATATATTTTGCTTTAAACTTACAATTTTTAGATAAAAATTTTTCTCTAGGTACTATGTTATCTTTTGTGCAAAATATATGACATTTATATTCAAAATATTCCTGGTCTTACAAGGAATCCAGCAATGTCAATTATATTTTCCTAACTTTAGTTTGAGGTTATCCCACACATCTCCTTGGGACGGTTGGTGGGGGGTGGGGGGGGGAGGGAGGGACCGACCGACCATCTGTTAGCCGGCTGTGTAGTGTGAGAGGGGGAGGGAGTTGAGTCCATTATTTGAATGGACATTAACTTGGCGACTGTATTTCTCTATTTCTCTTAAGTATTAATTGTGTGCATGTACCATCATAAAATTAAGATGTTATTTTTACTACAACATAGGTATGTGCCTTCAAAAAGTGGAGTTTGGGGGTCGGGCCGGTTTCTATTGGAATTAATCCCATATGTTCTGTTGTTCACTTAACGCGGATTTCACTTAACGCGGGACCCTCTGGGTTCAATTGACCGCGTTAAGTGGGGTACAACTGTATTAGTTTTTTATTTTAAATGAACAATGAAAGATTAAGTTACTTTATTATTTAATATAATTTATTTAAATTGTTTATTTCCATTAATTAATTACTTAAATGTTTCTTTTGTAAAGGAAACGGTGATTTAAAATAAGAATTATTATTTATCTAGATTGGGTTACTGAAAATAATGTCAGTTTCAGGGGTTTAAACTTGTAGCTGTTTAAGGTTGCAGCTGTGTATTTATCCAAAGGACGTTCTCAAGTTTATTTTTGAACATCTAAGTGGAAGAACACTGGATGAGATAACTTGGAGCAGGACTTATGTATCAGATTAGTATGATTATGAATAAAATAATTTAATTTCACTTGAGAAGTGGTAAATTTGCAATTGACCTTTGTTATTTATTTAGACACGTTAATGCCTAGTAAGGAGTGAACACTAGAACTAGCTTGTATTATGATGTGTAAATGAGTATTAAATGAAGTTCACTAGTGAACATTGGTGAATTTAAAGAGTACAGAAGTGTTGTGTGTGTGTGAGTGTGTGTATATTTAGAGAGAAATTATTACTATAGTATAGTGTGTGTTTTATTTATAATTATGTGTATTTAAACTGAATATTCATTTAATCCCACCTTTATTAACAAGGAATTTCTTAAATTAAAAAACTTTGCTCTTTAAGTTTAGATAAAGTAACTACAGATTTAACCCTTGTTTTGCTGGTGCTACTAAAACCATACCAATTGTCTACAGTTCAAATCATTACCTGCATTACCTTCTCTGAATAACAAAGAAATACCTGTATATGTACTCAAATTATCTGATAACATACAGTATGTCACTATACTGATAACTGCTGGTGTGATTTTCATAGTTATACAATAGTAGCATAGCAGGTGGACAATATCAGTCTGTCACTACACTGGTGGCATAAAAGTTTTGAATACCAGTTTATGCCGCTATACAATGATGACAACAGTGGGATATTAAAAGATCTCTGCTGTATAGTGTAGTCTGTGTGTGTGCATTGTTTCACTGGGTTTGAGAGGGTGGAGGAGATTCAGTGCAACATTGTAACGCTGTTGCGCCAGGCTGGGTTCAATGTAGTAGACCAGGAAAACATGACTGAACTTCTCAACAGTCACATTGAGGAGCTTAGCAATGAGGACCTCATGAACCTGGAACAGCAGTGAGCAATGGAAGAGAAGGAAACCGAACATCCAAACCCGATCCAGAGGTGAAACGTTTGGTGCAGAAAGATAATTAATCATAAATCAGTTTTGCAGAGACCGCAAAAGTGAAAGAGGGCACATCAAACGCCCAATGCCAAGTTCTTGAAACCACCTATGACTTAACAACTGTAGAAAAGGTACTGTACTGGGTTAAAAGGCAGAAGTACAGTACAGTAGGGTCGGGATATATAGCGAGATAGGGTCCAACGATGTTCTCTATATACTAAATCGCGATATATAATTACATGTAATCAATGGGGAAAATATGGTTAGGTTCTGGAGGCCCAAAAAGTGACTAAACAAGTTAATTTTCTTTCTAACTAAAGCACCAATGAACACTAGACTCGGGAACTCTATGTTTGTCTTTGATACCCCCAAAATGTTCTACACTACGGAGGGTATACGCAAACACTTGTTATCTTGAAAATAGGTTCTTATTCTCGTACGGGAGATATACAGAGGAAACAAATAGACAGTGGGCATCCACACCATAAGGACTAGCGATCTCAACTCTCTGTATCACTCTGCGCTGGCATGTACAGATGCCAGCATTCACAAGCTGAATACATAATATGTAAATATGATAATTCACATACATAACATGGTGCATAATAAATGGAAATATTACATAGGATTAATACATGTTCTGTAATACTTTACTATACATAATTAATAGAGTAATATAAGAATACACAGCTTAAGGTACTACTTCGTGTCCATATTATACAGGAACAACAGGCTATTTCAATACAGTATCAAGGAACACCCAACTTGGCAGCTGATGCACCATCCTGGGAACACCAGACTCGACAGTAGACACCACACTGCCACCCTCCCTTAACAATCCCACACCTACATATACGAACACCCAAAATATTAGTTACAGTATTAAATCTTTTCCATTAAGCTTTCCATTATCTTCGCTTCACTTTTCATGTCACTAGCAACCCTTACACTCGCTTTAGAGGTCGTAATCTGCAGCAGTTTGCTGCTTTCTCGTCACTCACTCAGAAAAACTCAGCGGGCGAGCGTGAATGCGTGAGTGAGCAGCCACAGTGAAGCCTATCGTGAGCAAATAACACATTTGCTTGCCATGGCGGTACATTTGAAATATTTCGTGCCCAATTTCCCTCGCGAAATAAAAAATTATCGCTCTATATAGGAAAATGTCGATAATTTTGGTAGCCGCAATATAAAAAAAATCGTTAGATAAAGTCGCGATATATCCCGACCCTACTGTATATACAGTATTTTGTCCTGACAGGATCCTTTCTTTTCACCCTTTCCTCAGCTTCTTTCATATTAGATCACCCCATTATGATTTGCCACATCTTATTTCTATATATTTTTCAGTCCTTCATATGAACTACAGTCAACCCTCGTTAATTCGGACTAATAGGGGGGGAGGGTGTCCGTTTTAGCCGATTGTCCGAATTAACCGATTTAGGGGTTAATATTGCATTATATTTCAAAGTCATTGTTTTTCGTCACAATTTTATCCCACTTTCCACTGTAATACGTACGTAATTTCAGCAAAAATATTACATTTCCGTGAATGCATTATATCAAGCACAGTATGAATAGAATACCATTGTAATATAACAGTATTTTAACCAAAAACTATTAAAAAAACGAGTAACTTCTCTTGAACATCGGAAGGTTAGGTAAAATCTTTTGTTTTCGTTATGTATTTTATCCTATTTTACATTAAAAAACATCACGTTTCAGCAAAACTACTATTTATTTCCGAGAATATATTCATTCGGGCGCAGTTTAGGTAAAATATACATGTGATGTAACAGTTTTTTAACTGAAAACGATTCGAAAAACACGTACCCTCTAGCCCTGTTGAAGGAGAGGATAGGGAGAAGCTGTTTGGTGCTGCAGACGATGACAAGGAAAATGATTTGGATGGATTTTAATGAAAATATTCAGAAATATGGTATCGTAGTATTTATTCAAGTCAATTAGGATAGAATATTATTGTAATACAACAGTTTTTTAACGGAAAACCAATCGAAAAGCGATTACGGTAACATCTTTTGAACGAAAGAAAGCGAAAGTCATTGTTTTCGTCACGATTTTATCCCACTTTCCACTGTAATACGTACGTCATTTCAGCAAAAATATTACATTTCCGTGAATGCATTATATCAAGCACAGTATGAATAGAATACCATTGTAATATAACAGTATTTTAACCAAAAACTATTAAAAAAACGAGTAACTTCTCTTGAACATCTGAAGGTTAGGTAAAATCTTTTGTTTTCGTCATGTATTTTATCCTATTTTACATTAAAATACATCACGTTTCAGCAAAACTACTATTTATTTCCGAGAATATATTCATTCAGGCACAGTTAAGGTAAAATATACATGTGATGTAACAGTTTTTTAACTGAAAACGATTCGAAAAACACGTGTACCGTCTAGCTGATACTCAACAGCTGGTGGTGTGTCATGCGTCGTTGTAAACAATAGGAGGTTGAAGTAGATTACCGGGTATTATATTAAGTGTGAAATATCGAAAAGGTTTTTATTACCGGTATTTTTTGTAGATCAATGAGAACTGTGATACCGTATATGATATGATAAGTTAGCCTGTGCTAAGAACTTCAACATAGACTACTGAAAACATGTTGTAAGGTAATTTAGCCTATTGTAAGTTGGTGAGCTTCATTTGCTGAAGGAACTGCACAACTTTTCATTACTAATTGGTACATATTTCACGTTTCCATTGTTTACTGGCAGTAAATGGTAAATATTTTTCATGTCTGAAGCTAAAAGTTGCATCCCCCCCACACTAGTGGTGGAGATGTTACATTTAACCAAAAAGACGCTGGTGTTTTATCCCAGCAGTGGGTGGACCAGCATTTTAGCTTAAGGTCCGCGTAGGTAATATTCCTAAAATCTAAAAAAAAAAAAAAAAAAAAAAAAAGTTCAGATTTTGTCCGAATTATCCGAAATCCGGATTAAATGGGTCCGAATTAACAAGGGTCGACTGTACTTTAATAACTGCACATTAATTTTCTTACAGCTTCAGTGCTTCATTTTTTCACAAGACTGTACTGTACAAGCAAAGACAACTATTTTACCTGTAACACAACTATAAATACATGATTTTTTTTGCCACTGTTTATTGCATTAAATAAACACGTCACACCTACCTGTCTCCGGTTTCATTAGCAATATCTGCAGCCTTCTGAAGATTATTACAGTAGCAGTAGACTCTCACTAAGGACAAGTGATCATGAGCAGCTTCATAGAACTGAAGTGCTGTCTCCATTTCACCAGTTGATTCTAAATACTGAGCCCACCATCTTCTCAAAGCTCTAAAAAAAAATTGTTAATGCATACAGCAGAAAGTACAATAAAATAGCCAAATATTTAAAGGAAGGATTAAGTAAATCAAAGGTAAGACAGTGACATGAAAATAAAACAAGGCAGATAGCAAGGGCGGATGATGTGTAGACCCAAAATTGAGTAATGTGAGGAATATTAGTTGATCAAATTTTGAAAAAGATGTGGGCATATTATGTATAATTCAATTAACTTAAAAATATTTATGACAGTTAACAGAGAAGGTAGGCAAAGTATGTGATGAGTGTGTGGCACAGAAGGAAAACTGTTCAAGGCAGTAAAGATCTTCCATAAAGAGTGTAGACTATACATTACAACACCATGCAAATATACATTACAACACCATAGTTGTTCAACATTTAAAGAGAACAAGGGTAGTAATACTGGCTGTGGTTAAAAGTGATCTTGGTATGAACTAAATATTTAAGGGAGAGAGTTGAAGTTTAATAATATTGTTATATGCAATTATCACTATATAATAATAACAAAACAGAAATAAAGCAAGGCAGTGTTGTAATTATGATAAGATAAAGTTTGAAACATGGCTCCATCAACATCATCATCATCCACACTTGCTTAAGTTAACCCAAATTACCTGATGGCAGCTTTCTATGCTGCCTCTTGCAGCCTCTCTCATCAAGTTTGAACTCTGAAGACATTTCTTATGACCTCTTGCCATATCTTTCTTAGCATATCCCTAACTCTCATCTCCTCCACATTTAGACCTGTGCACCTCATGACCTAACTGGTTTCCTCCATATCCCCAAACCATCTTAGCCGATCTCTATGTGAAATTTTGCAAATACTCTCAATACCCAGAACCCATTTAGCTCGGAACAGAGTTTCTTACCTAGCCTACAAATGATATCCTCTTTAACTGTCCATGTTTCACTGCCATACAACATGTAGTGGTTACCCAATATTAAATATTTGGACAATACCTTTTTAGTAAGAAAAAAGAAATGGAAGTCATATTTTCAGAAAACTTTGAAACAGAGGCACTGATGGATACTTTCAGTAATAAAAATGAAAAAATATAAGTGCGGCAAAATTTGCTAGAAAAAGTGACTAACCTATTGCGTAATGTTTACAGTACTGAAGACATTAGTATACAACTACAAGTTTGGCAGAAAACTGAAAGCAATTAAAAATTAATTTTCTAAGAACTAAAAAGAATGCCTACAGTGAACAAATTACAATTTTAGAGGGAGAATATGCATTAAAATTTAAGGGGTTAATACAGTATAACAAAATATGAGTACTGTTAACATGTGGGAATTCTGACTCATTAGATTCAAGGAAATCATATAAGCTTTCCACATTCTGTAGAAAAGAATAAAACATAATTGCCAAAAGACGGGGGGGGTCTTACTTATCTTTGGTATGCATTATATAGTCTTCAAGTGTAGGCAAATCATCAAAAAGCATTCGAGGAACTTCAAACCTGTGGGTGTCTGATTTTTCATAGTGGCTTATGGCTCCACTGAAGTCTCCTGGAATTAAGTTTATAAAATTAATAAATAATTCTGTTTTTGTTTTCTATTTTCAATTTTAATTTTTTCTCTACTTTGGTATTTTCATTTGTGCCTATTAGGTCTGGCCCCAGTGACCTGTGTGTTAATGCCACTTTGTCTACAAGTCCAAAATCCAGGACACATCAAGATCAATGGCAGCTAAATTAAATTCAGTAATTAGTTGTGCCTTCCCATTAAAATAAATTCTGTGAATGAGATTTTCAAGACAGTAATTGATCTCTTAAGGTGTAAATGCAATAGGATATGAAGTAACATTAGTTGTGTATCTCATTTGTCTCCAGTAAGAAGAATAAAGCAAGGATTATACTAGTAGAGGTATGTTACAGAAAGTTATAAGAGAATTTAACTTTCAGTAAACCCTCGTAATTTCAGACTTCCATGTTTTGGACCAGCATATTACAGACATTTTGGGCTATCATAAAAATATACAAATCTGAAAAAAGTCCAAAATCTCAAATGCATATTACAAAGCACAAAATTGTGCAGCACACATGGTGACTTCTCTTATAAAGAGTATCTAATGACAACTTGACAAGTGATACAGGGCTCCCCACCTCAGTCTCTTTTTGGCCCAAATGGTGAGCTGCCCTATATAATACAAGAAACCCACCCACCCACCTGGAAGGCTTACATCTGTAGTCCTATTAAGCTCACAGGAAAAATTATATACAGTATCTTCGTACCTTTACTCTCCAAATGCTTTGCATAATTGTAATGTGTTGACCGAAGGTGAATTCTGTCATTGCCTTCTGCAGCTTCAAGTGCCTTAGACCAAATTCCACCATCCTGATAAAAGCGATTTAACAAGTCATATCGTCCACAGCCACGGTATAAACGTTCTGCTTCCTCCTGAAAAAAAACACAAAAGATATGTAAAACCTCTGGGATGAGTTCTGCCAGTATGTTTGATACACATCATCTATAATCAAATTTACATGCTATAAGTCTATTTATATGTTCTCTTCATTTCAAAACATGGTTGGACAATCAGTCTTCCTGGTATATTTAGACAGAACATCATCCTTGTGGTGAGAGAGACTGGTGGGGCCATGATGTGAGAAAACCAGTCCAAAATTGCTTACACAGTAAATAGTCCTGTGAATGGTACAAGCTATTCTTTCCAAAATATGATTACTGTACTAGTGTACTTACAGACCAACACAATCAAGATAAAAAATGCAATATCCATAACTATGAAATAACAGAAAAATGGGGGTAGATAATTTCTGAAGCTTTGTGGGAAGTGAAGAAACTACCTTCAAGTGATGGAAAGTAATGAACAAGGAAATTTGGTCAGGAGGACACAGTAGGACTAGGATTGAAGAGAAAATCACACAGGATATGTAGTATTAGAAAAACAATAAAAGGGAGAAAATAACAATCTATAAAACAAAGGAAAAATATGAACAGTACAGTGCTGGGAGAAATGACAATCAAGAAAACACACAAGAGGGCACAACAAAGTGAATGCGAGCCAGGTACAATATCATGGGAAGTGAGTATTCTATAGTACACAGGAAGACAAAGATGTAAAAAATACATCAAAACTTTATCTCAGTTGAGGGTTAATTGCATTTACAAGATTTATGTCTGTAGAAAGATATGCCAGTGGGGCATCAAGAACCTATAATGCTGAAAGAAAAAATAACCGACCACTGTATCTTAACCTAACCCTGTGTTAACTGAATGTTTCCACATAAAATATACAGTATAGCAATGATGCTGATGTCAACTTAGGGTCAAGTGGCCCCTGTGCTCCCCTAGCAAATCCACCTCTGGATGTGCAGACTATGCCAGATTCATTCTTATCACACAGTCATATCATTTCACACTGAAGAATAGTATGACTTATATACTACAACATGACAAAAAAAAGAGAACAACACCCTCTCGTTAGTGGTAGAACTGGGTGTGTTTATTAACACTCTTGGGTCTGAGTAGGCGCCCTTCCACGAGATGCTCGGGGTCTGACCTGTTACTTACCTCACCACACTTGACTGCACCACACAAGAGAAATTTTACAAAAGGAGTCATAGCAAGCTGGCTATTTCAGATAAAATGGTGGGATTTTATTGCATTGGTATTGTACATAAATTATCTACAAACCATTTTATACGAGTAATCATGATCAATAATTATTTCTATACGTAAGCGAGAGTAGAAAACATAAAAAAATTTTACGCTAAATGAAAATGAACATATACCTTTGTTATTTCAAGTGATTACAATATGAACCTTATTCCGTTGTAAAGCGTACATGTTTAGGATAAAACAGATATAATAGATAAATTGTGAAAAAATCAATATTTCAAGAAGTAATAGTGGTGTAAATTTTGCATTCTGTTGAGCATGCCCAGACACCACACTATCGCCACGTGGTGAAATCTCCTTGCACTTTTTAAGTTTTCCCAACCCTCCACCCTCGCCAGCAACACGAGGCATGGTTCAAAATTCTCACAACAGTGTTATGAATAAATTAAATCATTGTGATGCGCGATAAATTAGGACAAGCTGAACGTAAATATGTGGGAAGTGTGGGTCAACATTATACTGTATCCTGGGTCCTTTAAACACAAAAGAGAGACTGGTGTGGTGATCTAGGAGTGCAGTCTACATAGTTGCCAGATCTTGTTGACATTGCCAAATGTGCATTTTGCATGCTTAGCATTCATATACAAACAAAATTATTTTATCTATTTTTTACTTCATGCGCAAATTTGAAAATGAAAACTTAAAGCGATAATTTAGTTCACACACAATTTTGCATATAAAACCCCCCACGAGCATTAATCTACTGTATTTTCTCTTTGCACTTTACTGTGCATAATTTTTACCTTGATGTGGAAACACGGAATAAAAAATGTACAATTGTACATTCATTCATCACTTAGATGCAAATAGCAATGTAAAAAACTAAAATTAATATACAGTTTACAGTACTGTAATAAAAACCGATTTAATTAAGCATACTGAATTGTAATTTAATACATAAAACATGATACAAAAATATCATAACAAAAAGTAGAAGTAAATTAAGTAAATTCTTACCAGCATACCAAGTTGCAGAGCCAACATTGCCACCCTAGCATCTATTTGTGGTTCCTTCATGGCATGTCGTAGAGCTCTTGCTCCACGTGCATGACCCATGTTGCCCAAACAAAGAGCTGCCACATCCAAGCGCTTAGTTTTGACACACATCTTGGCCATATTTTCCCAAACAGTTTCACTGTTTAAAGAATATCAAAATTTATATAGGTATTATGGTAACCAAATGTAAATAAAATGCAAATTAATGGGAAAAAATATTGAAGAGGATACTGGAATATCCATTTAATGATCAAGCCTGGAATAAGTGGCTTACTATATGTATCATCCTCCCAATTCTACAAGGTTAAAATCCAAGAAAACTATATCGCTGATAGCTGGGGGCTAATTTATGAAGATGTGTCACCTTCTCCCTAAAATCAACAAACTGACAAGTTTAGAGATGGGAGTTACCATTTAAGAATGCAAGCTCATCAGTCAAGATGTCACATCAATTGTGCAAACCTCACTTGTCACTTCTTGTTAGACATAACATCTGATTTCCAGCTCAATACAGTACCTCAGTTCCAACTAACTCCACTTTGGCTTTCAACTAAATTCATATCAATCAGGTACCCTGCCATCTGAACACAATGTGCTTTCAAAGATGCTCTCAGGCATCAGTTATAATGAATGTAATATAAACCATACTTAACCTTTTAATAGCCTTAATGGCTTTGAAAGCATCATCCATATTTCCAATAGAGAGGAAGAAAGAGAAGTTAAGCATGGCATCTTTAGTTGGCCTATCACAGCTCTCTAAGCCCACAAAATCTCTCATCACTCTCTGTGTCACAGCTTTGGCATCAGACTGTAAAAAAGATGGTGTGCATAAGGTTACAAATGTTTATGATACTCTATGAGACACATGAAAATCAATGTACGGTTAAACCCCAATAATTCAAAGGAAAAAAACAAACAGACAACAGTACTTTTCCATTATCTGCCCAACCCTCTATCAAAATTTACATGTTTTTAAGTACAGTTCAGGTATCTCTCAAGATACTAAGAGGTAAGGTTGTTGAAAAACCATTTGTTAGGTGAATTCTTTTATCTTATAGAAAAAAATATGGGAAAAAATAGACTTTGGTTCCCTTAAGACAAAAATACCCCAATATCATACCACAAAAACACAAAATCAGTCCACAAACAAGAAAAAACCTACCTAATTTATGATAAATAGTACACAAACTGTATTACTACCTAAAAACATTACTAAAATACTATCAAAATAAAAATATGCAGCTATAACTATTAAGGAAAGGTCAAATCAAAGTTTAACACAACCACCAGGAGCGCCATTTGCATAGACCCTAGCTCAGGGGTGGCCAACCAGTCGATCGCAATCCCTTCTCTAGTCGATCGCATGGCATAGCTAAACTTAATGACCAGCTGCCATACTGTACAAATATCATATTAAATTTTTTTTCATAATCATTCGGGTATTATTTTTGTTCAGATTTTTTCTTGGAATAGATTATCATTATGGACACATCAGAACGATACATAAAGAAAAACTTCAACTGTGCCATGCTGTATGTGGCGGAACCTGATAGGAAGTGTTCGCGTTCATACAGGCGGGTGCTGACTGGTTCCTGGCGAGGAAATTGATCAGCAAGTTGTCATCAGTTGTAGGCTAAAACTAAGCTAGTATTTGTTTTTATGAGTTTACAAATACACGTTAAACCTTGTATTAATGAATTTGGGAATGAAAACGTCGACTCAATATTGAGGAGTCTTGTCAAAAGTAAAGAGAGAGAATCATAATTGACAACCCTGTCCCTACGAGCCTACACACTTGTCACCAACAATGCAGTGATTTTCGGCCATCTGCAATACTTGTTATTCTTGTTTTGGAAAAGTCTTGGGTGATTACGAGAATTACTGACTTTTCAGCTTAGCAACAGTTCTCGCCGCAACCCTAGAGTAGACAGAAGTGTCCACACTAGCCGGAAACAATTGCTTATGAAAAAACAATAAAAAATAAAATAAAAACGTTCTGTAGTTACGGTTAGTAACTCCCATATCCACATTGGAAAAGTCATGGAAAAAAGTAATTCTCGTACGACTTTTTCTTTTCCAAATACAGGTTATTGGCCATCAACTGAACCAAAAATGGGTTCTGGACCAAGTAATAAAAGGACCAAAATTTACCATTTTCACAATGAATGGGAGAAAGTCTATGAATAATTTGAAGTGTGTGTGTGTCTGATCTGCCATGTGTCTCCAGTTCTCGCCAAGAAAGGAAATCTTGAAAAGCATATAAAAAGTTTTCACAAGAAGTATGATAATGATTTCCAACCCAAAAGTGAGCTACGAAAGAGGAAAGTTAATGAACTGAAATCACAACTTACTGCACAAGAAACTCTTTTTACTGGCACGAGCTCAAAACCAAGGGTAGCAAACCATTGCATCATTCAGGGTAAGTCGAGTACTTACAAAGCATAAAAAAAACATTTCAAGATAGAGAAATATTCAAAGAGGCATTTTTAGAAGCAGCAGATTTGTCATTTGAAAATTTCAAAAATAAGTCTGAAATACTGTTTTCTTTTAAGGATGTTCAGTTATCAAGAAACACTGTCATGAGGCGCTGTGAATTTATGGCTGAGGATTTGGGTGAATAACTGATTAAAGACATACATGAGTGTGTGTTCTTTTCATTACAATTTGATGAGTCTACTGATGTGGTCGATACATCTCAATTATGCATTTTCATTAGAATGGTGTTTAAAGACATGAGTACCAAAGAGGAACTGTTGAAAATTCTGTCATTAAAAGGAAAAACTTGAGTTGAAGACATAATTCAGACTTTCAGTGATTTTGTTAATACTACACAGTTGCCAACTTGTATCTTTGACAACTGATGGAGCACCTGCAATGGCTGGCCGAGTCAGTGGGTTTAATGCCCTGTGCAGGAGTGATGATAGGTTTCCTAACTTCTGATCACAACGAAGTGTGGCTGTTAGAATTAGCTTATTTAGTTGATATGACTGCTATGCTGAATAAACTAAACTTAGATCTGCAAGGGAAAGATAAAGCTATAGTTAAACATTATGAGTGCTGCGACTGCTTTCAAGCAGAAACTAAAACAAGTGTCTTCGCAGCTGCAGCAACATCAACTACGAAACTTCAGAAATATGATGTCTGAACTAGAACACCAAGGAAAAGACTGTGACCAGTTTGACAGTGCTTGATATGCTGAACAGGTACAAAACCTTGCCTCATATTTTGACAACGGTTTTAAGATATAGCAGCAATAGAACCTGTTGCAACATATACGTGTTTTCCATTTGGTAAAGACACTTTGGTGAAGATATTGCATCTAGAATGGCATCAGTATTTAACATGGACATATCTGAAGTCGAAAATGAACTTCTGAAACTTTAAAATAATATTCAGATCAAATCCATGGCAACAGAAGGAAGTTTCTGGAACCTTTTCAGTGAATAAAATATCCCAATGTCAGAAAATGTGCCATGGGAGGGGGAGTTTTGGGGTGAATATTAGGCTGGTATATCGCATCAGGGTAACTGTGGAAAAAGTAGATCACATCACACAAAAGGTTGGCCACCCCTGCCCTAGCTACTTCACACGTGGCTATCCTCAAGCGTCGCCATAGCAACTAGCCAAGCCACCTCTGCTGACCTGTAAAGCTCCCTCCCCTACTCTCACACACAAAGAAAAGTTTATTCCCTTTATGTTTTGACCTTATTATAGGTACACCATACCCTCGTTAATTTGACCAAAAAGAGGCTGTGGGTTACTCGAATTACCAGAAAATCAAAATTACCAGTAACCGAGTTCATAATATTTTGACAGTCAAAAAATTCAAATTTTTTGTGTTTAATTATTTGCTAATTTTCTGTTCAATTTGTTCAGATTGTTCCTCATTATTCCAACCAACAAACATACTCAGTTACCATGCCATGGCTACCACAAAATATTCTACCCTGTATTTGCAATTACAGTACTGTGCAAAAAAAATTTTTTACGTACAAACAGTAATAATAAAGTAAATGTAACAATGTACATTGCGAGGTGAACTGATAATATGTACAGGGTACATGATATTCACAAAAATGTAATGGTCACCCTGGTAAATGAAGTAAAAACCCACAGTGGAGAAATAAAAAGACAAAATCTTGAAGCTGGTGGAATACCGATTTTCAAAAAGGGAGATAGATCGCGATCTTCTAACTACCGTCCAATCAGTTTAACATCAATTGTAGGCAAATCACTGGAAGCACTAATTTTAAACTATTCAAAATCATCTTGAGAACCACAAGTTGATCAATAATTCCCAACATGGCTTCAATGGTGGGCGTTCATATCTGACAAATCTACTAACATTCTCTTCAACTGTTTTTGAATCAGTGAATGACAGACACGATTATGATGTGGTATACCTCGACTTTAGCAAAGCCTTCGACAGAGTCCCCCACGAAAGACTTGATACGAAAAGTGGAGGCTCATGGAATTGGAGGAGATATTCTAAAATGGATTAGGACATGGTTACAGGACAGGAAACGGTGAGTGAGCATTGTCGGCACTAAATCCGTTTGGGCTAACATCACTAGTGCAGTACCCCATAGCTCAGTACTTGGACATGACAGATATAGGTGCAGACAGCAACATAAGTTAATTTGCTGAAGACACTAAAATAGGACATGTAATTATATCTGACGAGGACTTGGCAAAACTACAGGAAGATCTAAACAAGTTTTTCTCATGGTCTGAAAAATGACAGATTAAATTTAATGTAGACAAATGTAAAGTACTTGGTCTAGGAGATGTAAATAGAGAAGGATTTAGGAGTAATGATAAATAGGAATCTTAAACCAAAACAACAATGCGTATTTGCTCAAAACAAAGCTAACAAAGTATTTGGGGTCATACAAAGGATTGCTAGTTGTAAGACTACCGAGATTATCCTAAAACTTGTAAGGTCTCAATTACATTATGTGGTTCAGTTCTGGTCACCGTACTACAGAATGGATATAGAATCCCTAGAAAGCATTCAAAGGAAGATGACAAGACCAATCCCAGGCATTAGGAACCTTGAGTACAGAGACAGATTAAAGCATCTAAATTTGCACTCCCTCGAGACGTAGAGTGAGGGGCGATATGATCGGGGTGTATAAATGGAAGTCTGGGTTAAACAAAGGTGATGTAACAAAGGTACTCAAACTTCCCAACCAAGAGCAAACTCGTAGTAATGGTTTTAAATCAGACAAATTTATATTAAGGTGCAAGATAGGTAAACACTGGTGGGAATTAGGGATAATCTTCTTGATGAAAGTATTCAAGATCAAGTCCAGGGTCCACTGACCTCAACTCAGGAGACAAGTCATGTGATCTGATTCCTTTGTTCAATGTCTTTATGAAGATAAATCAGAAAATAAAATAAGCCAAATATAAAGAAAATCTATATATTACGCCATGCACAGTATGTTATTCTACTTTTTTTTTATTAGAATCGGCACATAAATGGCCGAGTCTGAGGGATTTAATGCTTTGAAACTCATTCTGAGATGCAGGCCAATAAAGGTGGAATGAAAGCAACTCATGATGGTACCTCACTCTCGCACATTCGATGAGTCACTGACTCTCATGACGACAGTCTCCAATGGTTAGCTTGCAGAGAAAGGTGCCAGATACGGATTTTTACCAAGTGATTGGTATTGCTTTACACCAAAATATTATTATAAATACTTTTCTACAGCTTTTCCTATGTAAACAGAAAAGCCCTCTAAATGAAGGGGGGTAGAACAATTAAGCATAGCTTCATAAATATTATGAATTATGCAATAAAAATACGACAGTATATAACCATAGGCAACAGCTTTCCTCAGGAAATTTTCTGAATATTTTTGTAATTTTCAGATTTTCATCTGGACGCTCCCTTTAATGAAGATGGAGATGCACTAGGCTTGGGAACAGGGAGGACCATCAATCCACCACCCAACTGCCATGCTACCCACAAACAATTCACCTATTACTTTTAATTTTTATTATTTTTTAGTTGTACAGTCATGCGCTGGTTAACGTCCAACCGAACAACGTAAAAGAAATACTGTAAATGACTTTAGTGCAAAGCTGGAGTGCACATGTACTAATTTGATTACGGTACTAAAATTGTTATGTCTAGTGCGAATTATATTTAAATAAATCAACATCTTACAAGAATCCCAGCAATGTAAATTATATTCACCCAGGTCATTTCACTGGCTTTTTATAGGAGAAAAGCTTAGTCACTTAAGAACTGATAAATATACACACGTTAGACCTGGGCCAACCGTCAAACCGCTCCCCTCCCCCCACGCCCCCTCGCTCCCTCTCTCCCATCTGCCCAGCGTTGCTGGAATCCTTCTAAAACAGTGAATAATTTTAATATAAACGTCATGTATTTTGCAAAAGAGAAAAAAATTAATCACCTGTATCACATAACATTATCAACAAGGCCATTGCACTTGGGCTGCCCACCAACCTGGTCTCATGGCTCACTGATTTCTTGACTGGACGCCGCCAGGCAGTGACGTATCAGAGCTCGGTCTCCACATTCCAACACCTCACCTGCGGTGTTCCCCAGGGGACCAAGATGGGACCACTGTGCTTCCTCATCCTGATCAACGACACTATCGGACACTCCTCACAGGTGGAAGTACGTGGATGACTGCACTGTGGGGGTTTCAGTGGACAACACCACACCAGACTACTCGTCACTACAAGGCACCCTGGACAGGCTACAGGCATGGACTACAGAGAACAAGGTCACCATCAACCACACCAAAACCGTAGTCATGCACATCAACACCGCCACCACTCCACTGCAAGCCCCAGCAGTCACAGTGGGTGCCCATCCTCTCCAGCTGGTGCAGTCTGCCAAACTCCTGGGTGTAACTATAGACAACAAACTTGACTGGAAGGCCCATGTAAATAACACAGTCAAGGCAGCCTCGTACCGTCTCTACATGCTACGACGACTTAGGTCACTTGGGACACCCACGCCAGAGCTGAGGACCATCTACAACGTTTTTATTCTCCCCAAACTAACGTATGCGTCACCAGCCTGGTCGTCTTCGCTCAACTCCACCCAACAACGTCAGCTGGAGAAGGTACAGAAAAGGGCCTGCAGAATCATGCTCGGCACAGAATACTCAGGCTACACCAATGCTCTCTTCACCCTGGAAATGCCATCCCTCAGTGACCTCCACCACCAAGCACTGGAAAGGTTTGGCAGTGGACTACTGCACCACCCTCGTCATCGCCACCTCCTGCCACCAGCAGTCCCCAGCCCACCACGCGCAGTCCGCCACTACAACAAAATTCAGCCCATAAGAATAGCACCATCCCATCTATTGTTAGAATAATAAACAACAACTGATTTATGTACTGTACAGCCCTGTAAATGTATTCAATGCATATCATTATGTCTAAATCACATGTAAGTTTGTATATTTTCAGCCACTGGCTGCAACTCTATTAATAAACCGTTTATTATTATTATTATTATTTATTTACAAAGTTTATGTGATGATCGGACAACATCCATTTCGGTTAACGTCACGTTTCCAAGAACGTATCTAGGACGTTAACCGGCGCATGACTGTATATTAATTTTTCTTCTTCTAAGTCACATTAGAGCATTGAGTGATATTCAAATTATATTTTCTTTATTTCCAAGGCAAATTAGAGCAATGAAATGATATTTCCACAACTTTTATGCTTTCTTATGTAAACTGTAGCAGTTGGCATTCGGCCACAATTTATGAATATTTGACTGCAAAACTTAAATAAGCTGTAGTAATAGAAGTACCCGCATATTTAAGAACGGGAGTTTGTATTTCGTGAATTATCAAGACTCCAATGTATCTTGTTATTTATTAGGTCTCCCAATACTCTTAAAGATTACATCTACAGTACAGTCAATGATAATCATAATCAACTGAACATTTCACACATGTTCATGTTGACACATCTTTACAAGCCCATTTCCAGTTATATATTCCATTCCAGAAATCTTTTAAAATTTTTGTAGGAATACATTTATTTGTGTGTCATGTCAATTCACATACAATGATCACATCATAATTGACAATTAGTCATAAAAATTGGCTGTTCTAAGCAGCAGAACTCTACAATAAGATGCTTGTACTATTGTCTGTTCACACAAGTACAGTCTTGCAATGTTAACATTTGTTTAAATCCAAACTCTATGAATATACATGTGCACTTAATATTCTTTTAAATCTATCTACAAACCTTATTTTCAGGATCATGAACTTTAAGGAGGTAAAAGAATGGGACCTGCACTCCAAGCAGTCGAGAGTACGTAGGAGTCAATGGGAAGGAGTCTTGGACGATGTTGCCGTGGTCAGAACTCACAAACAAGGACACCAACATAACAGCTGGCTGCAATACATATCAAATTTATTAACAGATCAACTATTTAAAATCATATTATGACTTAAGCTATACAATACTTCCTCAAGTATTAGAAAAAACCTGAATGATAATTACAGTACTGTACTGTGAAAACTGCATTTGGGGTGTGCCATTATTAAATATGCTGAACAATAAGAAAAAAATTGAGAAATCATGTTCTGATATTGTAATCAATGAGAATGTGTCCAGAAATTTGTGTTCTCAATTCTAAAGTAAATTACTAGATCTGAAGTATCGAAAATAAGGCTAATACATTATGAAACTTTGTAGAATAAGAGACTAAAAAGATGTTAATTAGATAATATCAGAAGGCTGGAGGTGGTTCACGTACAGTAGAATTTTTTGTATGGTAGTATTAGTGCCATATGAATGACCCTGCAGAATATACAGTACTCTGTACAATGAACTGCTAAGAAGTAATAAAACCAATGTGACCAATGTGAAGCTTACTAATTAACTTTATATCTGTAATCAAGCTGAGGATGTGAGGAACTAAAAATGAAGTGATCTTCCTTAATGTAATAGTTCCCGAGTGCCATCTTTTATAGTACTTCTGGACCAGTTTTTTTTTCTGTAAATTCTCATTTCCATTGATTAACCACAAACACTTGGAAACAGAACGAGGATGGCAGATGAAAAAAAAAGAAGCTTCTTACGAGCTCAGTATTAAAATACATCTATTCAAATACTGTAATAACTATAATACTCACCCGATCTGCCTTGGTTGTCGAGGATAGGTAGTGATCCCTCTGCTTTTTGGTGCTGAGAAGTGACTTTGCTTCACATACAAGCAGACGAGGGTCTTCCAAATCCCACAAGTGTGACATTACAAAGCGACCCCCAACTTCTCGTGCAGTTTCACGTTTTGCTCTGAGAAGAAAATAAGAGCAATATAATTAATTATATGAAAGAAGTTATATTTTCAATATATTACAAGGTAATTTCCTATAAAATATTAGATGGTGTTGATTAATGCCAACTACATAAGAATATTTTAACTGTTATGATGTCAATTTATCCAATTCAAATGTGGTTGTGACACTACTGACATAAATTAGCTTTAACCCCCAGGCTTCAATTTCTGTCATATGAAAGATGCTTACAGGGTTTCGGTTGCCATCGTATCATGGATTATTGTTCGATGGTACTATTTGAATTGCCATGCGGGCCTGGCTAGATTATGCATGCGATGATGCGAGCCTCCCAATTACTGGAGGCAGTAAAAGTAATTATTAATAGTAATTATATAATACATGTTATCGCCGCTGGCTTCAGCTACAGTGCTGGCATGTGCTGCCATTAAATCTTACGGCCTGTGACCTCGCCAGATGTAGAAGCGTTTACAGACAAGTCCTGGTTCTGCTGAGTGGACGGTCTTCGGCGGGTGGCAGGGCATGCAGATTGCCCTCTCTAGTGATGCTGTGAAGAGTGTAAATGCCTTGGTTAAGGACATTCAGGTGACGGGCAAGTCGAAGGGAATGATTGAAACCTGCCTTTTGACACATTCCATATTTATTGATGTGGTCAAAACCTGCAGAGGAGAAGGTGTTCATCAATATTACATGGTGATCTATTTGATACATAATTAATTAGTCTCACACAATTTTATCCAACTTACGATTTATTAAACATAGTTACAACACAAAGTTCATAACTCTATTAATCTTAGTTACGCTTCATTCCGCATTGTCTTATTGCTCCAGATAAGGCAGAAACGATTAGGCGTAATTAGTCAACAATATTTCAGTAAAGAGGGGTATGTCATCACTTAGGCTGTACAGTTAACCCTCACTTTACGCGGTTAATGTAACCCGGAGGGTACCGCGGAAAGCAAGAAACGCGTAAAGTGAAAAACATAACATATGGGATTAATTGAAATGGAGTCCAGGCCGATCCCCAAACTCCACTTTTTGACGACACATAACTATGTTGTAGTAAAAATAACATCTTAATTTTATGATGGTACATGCACACAATTAATACTTAAGAGAAATAGAGAAATACAGTCGCCAAGTTAATGTTCATTCAAATAATGGACACGACTCCCTCCCCCTCTTCTCACACTACACTGCTGGCTCTTCCCTCTGAGAAATTTTGGGGGGAAAACCAGGTATAGTAATAAATAATACCTCAAACTAAAGTTAGGATAATATAATTGACATTGCTGGATTCCTTGTAAGACCAGGAATATTTTTAATATAAATGTCATATATTTTTCACAAAAGATAACATATTTACTCAGATTAAACATTACATCTAAAATTTGTATGTCTAATGCAAAATCTATGATGTTTATATTCAAAATGATCATCAAATTGTAAGAATTCCAGCAATGTAAATTATATTCTGGCCGGGTAATTTGTATGAATTTTATGAGCTAAAACAAATATCTTCAGTTAATAAAAAAAAAAAATATTCTTCACGACACTATCTGTCAATCAAAGTACCCCACCTTGCCTCCCCCCCTCTTCCAACCGCGCGGTCAGTCCCAACCCTCCCCCCCACCCCCCACCAATCCTCCCTTCAAGAGATGTTGGGTGAAAAAAATAAATTTTAACATTTTGTATTAAATAATACCTCAGATTAAAGTTAGGATAATATAATTGACATTGCTGGATTCCTTGTAAGACCAGGAATATTTTGAATATAAACGTCATATATTTTGCACAAAAGATAACATACTTACTCAGAGTGAACATTTTATCTAAAAATTTTATGTCTAATGCAAAATATATGATGTTTATATTCAAAATGATCATCAAATTGTAAGAATTCCAGCAATGTAAATTATATTCTGGCCGGGTAATTTGTATGAATTTTATGAGCTAAAATAAAAATCTTCAGTTAATAAAAAAAAAAAATATTCTTCACACGGTAACAGATGGTCGGTCGCCGGTCCCTCCCTCCCTCCCCCCCCCACCAACGTCCCTACTAGATAAATGTGTGGGAATACCAGACTGTTTACCTTTTTAGTAATAAATAATAAATCAGACTAAAGTTAGGATAATATAATTGACATTGCTGGATTCCTTGTAAGACCAGGAATATTTTGAATATAAATATCATATATTTTGCACAAAAGATAACATATTTACTCAAGAGTAAACATTATATCTATAATTTGTATGTCTAATGCAAAATCTATGATGTTTATATTCAAAATGATCATCAAATTATAAGAATTCCAGCAATGTAAATTATATTCTGGCCGGATAATTTGTATGAATTTTATGAGCTAAATAAAAAAATTATACTTCATCCGTGTAAAGGGGTACACCCACCGCGGAATGTGAGCATCCTGGGTTCTGGCAGGGCACCGCGTAAACGTGGAAACGCGGAATGTGGGACCGCGTAAAGTGAGGGTTGACTGTACTTACAAGTGTGGGTCAATGCAGATCAGTATGGTGTTCCAAGAAACAACAGTACTGCATAAATTGTCCCAGTGCAAATTCTCGAACAGGATTGTGAGTCGTGTTCACCAGTGCAAGCAGAGGGCTGGTCTTCACAGCATCACTAGAGAGGGCGATCTGTCTCATGACGGGGTGGGCAGCACTGCCACCCGCCGAAGACAGTCCACTCGGCAGAACCAGGACTCGTCTGTAAACACTTCTACATCTGGCGGGGTCACAGGTCGAAAGATTTAATGACAACACATGCCAGCACTGTAGCTGAAGCCAGCACCGATAACACTCCCGCCGTTGGGCAATCTCCCACGATTTACGATGTGGCGTGTCAGCCACCCTCTGCTAGCAGTGGTGAACACCGACTCACAATCCTGGCCGAGCTTAGTGCTGGAACAATTTACGCAGTACTATTGTCCCTTGGAACACCATGCTGGTTCGCATTGACCTGCACTTTTAAGTACAGCCTAAGTGATGACACACCCCTCAGCACTAAAATAGGTATTGTTGACTAATTATGCCTACTCATTTCTGCCTTATCTGGAGCAATAAGACAATGCGGAATGAAGCGTAACTAAGATTAATAGAGTTATGAATTTTGTGTTGTCACTATGTTTAATAAATTGGAATTAGGATAAAATAGTGTGAGACTAATTAATTATGTATCAAATGGATCACCATGTAATATTGATGAACACCTTCTCTGCAGGTTTTGACCACATCAATAAATATTGAATGAGTCAAAAGGAGGGTTTCAATCATTCCCTTCGACTTGCCCGTCACCTGAACGTCCTTAACCAAGGCGTTTACAATACAGGTTGGGCCCGCTAATCCGGGACCCGATAGTCCGGCAACTTTGATGATTCGGGACGCATATAGTGAACACTTAATCTTATGGGGAAAATTAGTTTATATTTTACAACTACAGGTACTAAAAGTCAACAGTAATGTTATAAAAGTTCTGAAAAAAGTCATTATAATTATCACAACCTGTACTCAAATGTATTAAGTTAAATACAAAAAAAAAATTACGTCTAGTGTAAACTATCGGATGCTTGTACTCGGATTAATCGTTACCTTGCAAGAATTCCAGTAATGCACATTATATTCTGCTAAGTTGGTGACATTTTTTAAGCGAAAAACTTAAACTCTCTCAATTGTATAATCCTGAGTCCCTAACCCCTCCCCCCATCCACTGATAACTACCCAGTAATCTCCCCTCCTGGCTGTCAACACCTCACCTCCCCATCCCTCCTCCTTTCAGCCAGAAGGTGACAACAAATTTAGAGGTAAAGGTGGTTTTAGGCTTAAAAGTTTTTATCTTATAAAATGTCACCGACTTGATTTAGCAGAATATAACTTGCATTGCTGGAATCCTTGTAAGATAACAATTAATTTGAGCATAAACATCTCAAAGTTTGCACAAGAGATAAAAAATTTAGTCCTTTGGCTTAGTACATTTGAGTACAAAGTGAGTGCAGTAATATGTTGCTCAAAATTATGGCTTTTTCACAGGGAAAAGTCTATATAACTGAGCCCAGTGGCCAAGATATTATAGCATTGAATGTTACAGAGTATTTCAAATAAATTCTTTGTTTAGTTCTGCACATACACTGTATGTGAATTCCCATATAGTGAATAGCACAAAGCGAGGGTCCAGTGTACAGTAAATGTGTGCCATAGCACTAACACTGTCATAAAGAGGTCCAGTAAGCCTGAGCTAGATTTATGCTGATGTAAGTTGTATTAGTACCAGAAATAATACATTTTCTGCATTATTTTGGCATTTTTTAACCTCAGCTTCGATGGTTCAAAATTTTCACTAATCCAGAACCGGTCTGGTCCCAAGCATTCCAGATTAGCGAGGTCCAACCTGTAAAACAAGTCCTGTACCTCATACTGTCTACAAATCAGCGTTGTTTACCTCGTACTGCCAACCTGACCTCGCTGCCTCACACACACACACACTTCTCACACAGTCTCAACTCTTCCTAACTTCTATGATGCTAAATAGTATTAAGTACACATATTTCTATACTGTTTATATCATGTTTAACCATCTCAAAGGTGCTCAGTGAGACAAGTTCAGTAGCTGATGGTGGACTATTTCCTTTTTAATTGCAATAGAGGTACTGAAGTGCTTGTGAGTTTTAACAAATACAGGATTTAATTTTATTTTAATTTTGATATTTAAATGTACTAGGATTTTATTTTATTTATATCATAGTTTTAAATTATGTGTTTCATTTTCGGTGTCAAGTGGCCACAGGCTGCGACACTAGATATTTTACCCAATTAATCGATCAATTATGTATAACCATTTTGTAAGAATAAAATTTTTGTTTTGTTCTGTTTATAAATTTCCCTCAATGTGTGTGTGTGTGTGTGTGTGTGTGGGGGGGGGTTGCACATACCTATCATAGCCCAGTGTGGGGGGTTTACTCATTGGGTCATAGGGGAGTTACATATTTGCCTTCATTTAATCCCTTTTCTCAGATGGGGAGGTCCACTTTGTTAGATACAGAACAAACTCCAGATTTTCCAGATTTTAAAGCTTCATACAGGAATTTTCATGTATCAATAGATGTACAGGAATTTACTAAGAAGCATCTCGACTCAAAATCATAAAACCGGCAATTGGAACCACTCCTTCCCAAATCCCCTGCTTTTTAGCTAGAAAGACTTGCAAGAGTGAGAAAATATCATAACACCATACACTCACCTGTCATGCAGCCCACCATCTTTAGAATTAGTACTATCAGCTGAGTTTGGTGGAGCAGTTCCGTCTACATCATCATCCTCTGACCGACCCGACGCAAAATTAAAGTAAGTTATGTTATCATTTTCTATATCCCAAATGTAGAGCTTAGGATCTGGAAGAAGAGATGACTGAGCAACAGCAATGGACACCCTAGTACCATTACAGTTACAGCGAGCAGAGATGATCTCCCCAAAGTCTTTGATGGCATCACTCATCTGCTTGCCTTGTGTATGAGGCTTGGCTTCCCTGAAAGGTAAAAATTTATTAGGCTTCTTTTTAAATAAAAACAAGATAATTATAGTCTACAAGCATCTGGACAAGATTATACAGTAGTATTAGAACAGTATACAGCTGCATTTCTTGTGTAAGATGAAAGTTTACAGTAAGCAGCCAATAACTGAACAGTCATACACTGCATCTAAAAGGAAAAATGAAGTAGCTTAACGTTATTAAAAATGCATCAAAAAGAAAGTACCCAGAACTCTATTTCTATGCACAAAGAACCAGAGGGAAAACAAAATAAATTTTGAAACAATAAAAAATATATACTGTACACATATATAAAGTATACACACATACAGTGGTCCCTCGATTAACAAACGGTTCGATTAACGAAATTTCAGTTAACGAATTACCTCCCATAAGGATCTTCAATTCAGTTAACAAACAAAACTTCGATTAACGAAATCCTTACGACAAACACGTTTTGTTGTGAGCATCACCTGATCAGCTGATGGGCTAGTCTGCCAATTCAGTAATCTGTTCTTTGTTTACATTCGTTTCCAGTGGAGTAAATATCAATGAAGTTGTGCTCTTTAATATTTTTGCATTTTTTATATTAAAATTATTAATCATTTTAAAATTTAGTTTAACATATTGATAATATATGCAGTACAGGGAACCAGTTTTTTTGTGCGCCCATCAGCCGCTTGACTCACCCACCAGGCGTCAGTTTGGCTTTGTTTACAGTGGAATGAACATCGATTTTGTTGGCGTCTTGAATATTTTTGCATTTTTACATTAAAATTATTGGTCATTCTGAAATTTAGTCAACATATTGATAATATATAGCACAGTGCAGTGTTGATTTAAATAAAATAATCTTGAATTACACCTAGTGAACTTAAAATTTTATTGGTGAAATTACTGCATCAAGCATGGGTCCCCTGAAAGGTGATTTCTCCTCCAACCCCACTTCCTTCTCTTCTCCCTTCTCCTCCACCCCCACTTTAAATTCCCATCATCATCATCAACCAGGAACCTTCTACATACACACCTCAAAGTAAGTGTACTTTACTGCATTTTTTTATTTTACTTTGTATGTACTTTTCTGTGAGCTGGAACCAATTACCGAAAATCCCATTGAAACTACTCTGTGGAACGAATTGTGTTCGATAACCGAGGGACCACTGTTAACCGAATCTATTATTCCAATGGGATATTGGGTAATTGGTTCCAACTCACAAAAAAAGTACATACAAAGTACTGGAGACCAATAATAGAATTAACTAAACATTAAATATAAACTAAATACAGTACAGTACTGTACTGTATAGTATACTGTACAATAATAAATAAAAAAGACTTTTTCTAAAAACAAGTTTTTGTGATATGACCCAGAATGCAACGCTTAGCTTTTAACCTAGGTATGTTAATGCCTAGCAATAACTCGCCAGGCCAACATACAGGCAATTAAAACATCTAATAATTACTCAAGTAATATTAGGACACGTCACTACCTGGCTTCTACATTATGTGCATACCATCATAAAGTTAAGATGCTATTTTTACTAAAACTTATGTATTGTGTCGGGAAAAAGTGAAGTTTGGGGGTCGGCCTAGTCTCTATTTCAATTAATCCCATATGTTCTTTTGTTCACTTTACGCATTTCTCGCTTTATGTGGGCCTCCGTGGGTTCAATTGACTGCGTAAAGCGAGGTTTCACTGTAATTACTTAATAAGTAATATTAGGGGGACACGTCGCTACCTGGCATTTAATTGCAATTGTCGAAACCCCCGCCCTTCGCCCCCCATCGCACGCACTGCCACCTTCATCTCTTGCCTTAGCGCGAGCAGTAAACAAAAGTCAACTCTCGAGGGGTGGAGATGGGTGGGTTATCAGCGTCGCATTCTGGGTCATATCACAAAAACTGTTTTTTTAAAAAAAAAAAAACCTTTTTGTTCAACCCAGAATGGGACGCTTAGCTTTGAATACCCGAGCAAGAGGTGGAGAGGGAGGTGACTTTGCATACAAGGCTCCGCTAACTTAGGTCCAGATTATGATTATAAACCGTGTAGAATATTTCCAAAATTACCGGTAGGAACATTTACCGGAAGGTAAAATGTTAATTTACATATCTCAAAAAGGATATTCACTTTATTATGGTGATGAAGAAGCTGTCCTTGAAAGTTTTTGAAGATCTCCAAAAGCCCATTTCCTTGATCTAACTGAGGCTCATATGCCGCAGAAAGGCCACAGACCCTGCGTATTTCCTAGTGTTATGTGCCAAAAATTTCTTGCCCGAGTCTGCTTGATTCACTAATTGAGATAAAGATTTTGTCATTTGACTAGAAGACAATTTCTTACCATCCCTGGATGAGAAAACATAGGGGCCTCGATTAGGGAATCTGGATAACCATTCCTGAAGATTTTTAACTGGGCATAATATATGAGGAACCCTTGTCTCGTCCATTAGGCATTTTATCCTAATAGGTTGAGCTTGGAAATCTTCCCTTTCATTTTTTCTTAGGATCTCAGTAGGGAAACAGGGTAACATCCTACTCAAAAAATACCAATAATGATGGATTATTGGAAATTGAAATCAGTTCACTTATTCTCATACCTGTTGCTATTGCTAGAAGGAATGCTGTTTTCTATAGTAATTTATCTCTGTTCAGATTTATATTGTAATTAGGCCCCATAAGAAATTTAGTAATTTTTTCCAGAGACCAAGGTGAGATTCTCTTAGGCCGAGGGGGTCTCTGAATGAAAAGGACGATCTTAGCATATAAAAATCCTTGGGTTCAAAGTAATATTAAAACCCCAAGCCAGAGGATCAACCAATGCTGAAGGGCTTTAACCCTGAACAGAAATTCTAAAAATTCTAACACAACTGTTTCCGACAATGATTCTGGAGTTGTTAACTTGATAAATTGTTGAAAAAGATTCCAAGTTTTCTCATATTGAATAGAAGTTTGAGGTCTATGACCTGCTAATACAGTGGTTCTCAACCTTGTTTGCCCCATGCACCCCTTTCACCATATGTCAGGATGTCATTCCCCCCTCCTTTCCAAGATTGTCTGCCTCAAAAAGTGCATTCCAAATAATATGCATATAATACTGAAAAACCTTTATTTTTTCCATATTAGTACATATACATTTACAATTTTACATGGATTATTTTTATAGTGAAGTTTTACAAATTAAATGTCAATTGAAAATGTTGATGGACTTATAAAACTTGAATAAAAGTAAAATAGTTTTTTTATATTTATAATAAATTACTTAACAGACCAAACTGAAGCATAATGCAATAAACAAAAAGTTCAATAGAATACCAGGATATTGTAAATTTGTAATTAATTTTATTCAGATGAAGATTACAGTCAATGAGAAACCTGTGATTGTTTTTTCTTCGCCAATTCTGGGATACGCGGAGGAGTGCTTGAAAGGGCACAACGCAGGCCATTTTCTACCTCTAATCTACTACGTTGCTTCGTTTTAATTTGCAACAGAGTTGAAAAGCCTGACTCACAAAGATATGTCGACACAAACGGAAGCAGTGCACGGATAGCTCTTTCTGCCACTTTTGGGTAGGAATCGCACATCAAGGGCCAAAATTCTGTGGTTGATTTCTCTTGCTTCCGAATCAGTTTTCCCCCCCCTGAAAACCTGAATTCCCCCCTTGGGGGGAACTCCCCCCTGGTTGAGAACCACTGTGCTAATACTTGGTTAGCTATACGGT